CGGAGAAAGCATGAAGCTCTATTTTGGCAATATTACATTGAGCTTGCGAAAATAAGTTACGATTGATTTTTAGATGTCGTAGTTCTGGAATACATTTAAGGAATGATTCCCATTGTTTCGTTAATAAGGGACTCAACTGTTCGTCCCAGTCCAGTTTGTCGATCCAAATAGATTGCATCAGAATTTTGGCTACAACAATAAAGGGATTTATCAATCCGATAGGGTCGAAAATTTGTGCGATTATGGATAAAACTTTTCTTTTAGTCATCTTCATGTGAAGTGGTTCCTTAGGGAGATTTATCATGAATATGTCATAGGTAGGTTCCCATGAAAGACCAAGAACCTTATTGGAATTATTTTCTGAAGATATTACATAAGTGGATTGATCATTAAAGCGGGAAATAACATGTAAGAATTCTTGTGAATTCGAAGACCATTTATGTAAACTCATATTTGCGGATTTTAATAAGTCAGTGAGCTGCTTGTGAGCGTCGTGAAGCTCTTCTAGAGAATTACAGCCATAAAGAACGTCATCTACATAGCATTGGTTAAGTAAAGCGTCAGAACCAAGTGGGAATTTTGTTATATTAGTTTGAGCTAGTTCAATTAGGCATCTAGTGCTTAAATATGGAGCACTATTGGTTCCATATGTCACCGTTTGAAGCTCTAGACACTTTAGGTCTTCGTTAGGATTATCCCGCCAAAGAATATTCTGCAAAAAGGTCTGGCATGGATTAACCCTAATTTGCCTAAACATCTTTTCAATGTCAGCAATGAAAACGTACTCGAAGGTCCTAAATCGACACAAAATATTATAAAGATCAGGCTGCACTGTGAAACCTTTAAACATTAAGTCATTTAAAGAATAATTACTTGTAGTCTTCATTGATGCATCGAACACCACGCGAAGCTTTGTTGTTAAGCTGTCTTCACGTATGACGGCGTGGTGTGGCAAGAAATATTTTAATTCGGAATTTTCAGTTTCAGTAACTAAAGGAAGGATTTTAGCGTGACCTAAAGAAATGTACTCTTCAATAAACTCTTTGTACTGAACATATAAATTTTTATTTTTATGTAACTTGTTTTCAAGGGCCACAAACCGTTTAAGGGCCATAGGGAAAGATTCACCTAGTTTTAGGTGTTCTGTAGGAGTCTTCAAAGGCAAATCGACCTGAAATTTGCCGTCATTTAATCTACAGATAGTTTTTTTAAATATTTTTTCAGTCAATTCGTCTTCTTTTGATAGAGGAACTTCGCAAGGAAGTTCTTCAATATACCAGAATTTTTCAATGAGTTTGTCAACTTGATCTTGAGGATCATTTTCAAAATTCAATGTAGTAGCAACGGTAGTAGTGAACAGAGAAACAGGACTAGAATCTTGAGTATCAGTATCTAGAGGGTCAGCCATTGTGACAGAGTGTGCAGAATTTCTTAAAATTGGAACATTCCCGGACACAGTCCATCCAAGGAAAGTATTAATTAGAACAGGGTTCCCCTTTCCTAATCTTTTAAATCCATTGCATAAGAGTTCGCAATAAACGTCCATGCCCAAAAGAATATCGATAGGCTGGCTTTCGAAGAACCTAGGATCTGCAAGTGCGATTTCGGTGGGTAATTTCAGGGTATTTATTTTTAAGTTAATTCTTGGTAAATTACACGTAATATTTTTAAGAACGATACAGGAAACAGAAAATGTTTTTTGGCTCGACCAAGTAGAGTGAAGCGTTAAATCTACCATTTTGTGGGAGTGGGTGACTTTTCCAGAAACACCTGAAATTTGCATATTTCTTTTAAAAACCTTGCAACCAAGGTCTTCAACTAATTTTTCTGTAATAATTGAGCTTTGGCTTCCATTGTCTAAAAGAGCTCTAGCAATAATTTCTTGTCCTGTTTCAGAATAAAGTTTAACTTGTGCTGTAGCCAAAAGAACTTCATTATTTGCTACGTTGACTGTTGAATATGAGTTCGTATTAGTGACAATATTTGAATTCAAATCATCAGAGCCATCAATCGAGTTGTCAGATTGAATCATGGGCTGAGTATCTTCTGAATTGTTACGAAGTTGTGAGGTTGAATTTGAATTATTATCAATAGTTCGATAATTTGTTTTTGGCGAGGAAGTTGATGAGTTTCCTTGAGGAGGATTTAAATGCTGGAATTGATTGAAGTTTGTTTGGATATTATTTGCATTTTGGAGCCTATTTGTTTGCTGACGTGGTTGATAATCTGGGTTATGAAGCATTGTATGATGCTTTTTATTACAAAGCATACAAGTTCTTTCTGAGTTGCAATTTTCGTAAGAATGTGCAGATGATAGGCAATTTGTGCAAAACTTGTTGTCTTTAATAAATAAAAATCTCTGTATAACTGGTAAATTTTTGAATTTTTCGCATTGTAAAATACGATGGTTATTTAAACTGCAATAATTGCATCTAATATTAATAACCTGCCTATTTGCTGGCAATTGAGATGAAGAAGTATTGGAATGATGAACAACCCTTGGATGAGTATATGATTTAGAATAAGCTGGTTTTGGCGAGTTAGCAGCCACAGTTTCCATGACTGAACATCTTTTATCTAAAAAATTTAAAAAATCAGTAAGTGTGGGAAGTTCTTTCGGATCTCTTTCACTTTCAAAGGATTTAATTGTGTTAAAGTCCAAATTTTGTAAGTACAGGTGGATAAGCATTAAATCAGCCCATTTTTCCTTTGAAATATTAAGATTTATTAGAGACTGGATACCCTGTCGCTTCTGTGTGATAAATTTACGTACTTCCGGCGCGGAATATTTAGACATATTCGGAATGTCTAATAAATTTTTAATATGTGAGTTTACAATTCGAAAATTATTAGAATATCTGTCTTTCAATGTGTCAATCGCTATTTGAAAACTATCCCTTGTCAAAGGAAGGCTATCAATGAGCTCCAAGGGCTCATCCTTCAAGTAGGACTTCAAGTAAATCAACTTCTGAACATTGGTAAGAGACAAATTAGTAATAAATAAGTTTTCAAATAAATCATGGAAAGCATTCCATTCAGTAAATGTTCCATCGAAAGGTTTAACTGAAATATCAGGTAACTTTGCACTGCTTGATGCCATTTGTGAACCAGATGCCTGGTAGGGTGTTACACCTTTAAGAGTGTCAATCTCTCTCTGTAACCCTGCTAACACTATACAATACTTCTCCTCGAAAACGTCACAATCTTGTTGAAGAGAACCATCACCCAATAATTCAATTTGCTCCAATACGAGCTCATATTTTGTATAAGAAGCTTGCAAACTTTGTTCCTTTATTTGAAACTGATAAATGTCTGTTAAAGTTCCTTGATTCGTGTTTAACCAATTGGAAATTTTGGTGATGCTTCTCTTGAGAGGAGATAATTTCTTTTTGAGATCCTCCATTTTGAAATATAAACAATAAATCTCAGTACTTAAAGGTTGAAAAAAGTTATTAAGGGAATGTCAAAATAAATAGGTATCACTTTTTCTGGAAAAACATAGAATACTGCAATGTTCTGAGCAACCGTAACCTGATAAGCGCACTGTTAAGTTCTTACCAATACAATGTTAAATTAAACTACACTCGATTGTAGAAAAAAAAATGTTTATAAATCACTTTTATAATGCCTTGATAGGCTTCAAATTTTTATTTCAAAAGCAGACTTTTACAGAAAACAGTTCTAAATCTTAGAAAACCCAGTATATACCATCCGGCTCGAAGGACCAACATGTCCAAATCCAAACAGGGTTTAAATTGAGGACAGCAAGCCAGAAACTTTTTTCTTCCTGACTGAATGAGGACTTGTAAAAATTTAGACCATCTGGCCCTGGGCTTCAAAGAAATAAAACACTCTGCTTTCAAGAACAACGTAATTAATAATATTCAATAAACAAATCAAGATAATCAATATTCAACGCAAACTTTTATAAAAATAAAAGAAAAGCTTATTCTATAAATCAAGCACACACATCTCTTTCATACAAAATAAACAATAATGTAAATACAAAGTGAAACAAGTTAGGAAATAGTCTCACAAATAATATTTTTTGCTCAACAGATGAACAATAAGCATTTGGTTTTATAAAAAAAAACACAAAAGAGTTTCCTTTGTCCTTTGACCCTTACAAGTCACATCAAGCAACACTCTACAATAATAATCTGTCACAGTACCTTGTCCTTTTTTGTTGGTTCCAAAAAAAAGGTTTATACCTCCGTTGTCTCCAATTTCAACTTTGAAGTGCTTCTGTACTACTGAAAGGATGCTTCGATATAGGCTTAGATCGATTAGCCAACACAGAAACCAGCAGCGGAATATTCTTCAAATATCGATTGACATTTTATAGCTTACACGAATTGAAAAACTTTAGGTTTGTCTATAACGAGGTCTATTAACTGGGAATTATTAATTTATAGGACGCGGGACGAGACCAATACGTCACTAATTAGCTGGGGATTATTAATTAATCAATAAGACGCGGTACGGGACCAATGCGTCACTAATAAACAGATTGAACAGAAATTATTTCAAGACGCCGTGGAATTGGGCCGCACACGTACGTCACTTGAAATTTAAAGATTTTTTTATCTGTCGCCTGGTTGAGATACGTATTCGCACTGATCCCTTATTCTACATTTCTCTGCTGTGTGCCATCAAGTACCACCCTTGTCCCAGCCAACGCCAAGCAAAACAATCCCCGCTCACGTCGCGGACCCCGCATTACCCTAGATACTCCGTCTCCGAATTCCTCAAAACAAAACTTGTCTAGACCTGAGTTTGTATAAAAAAAGAAAAGGAAGGTTTGGCCAGATTTTAAAAGAAGAAAAATATTTACTAAAATAGAGGTAAACCACAAAAGAAAATAATAAAGTTGCGTTGTTCGCAACACTACGATTATCGCGATTACATCATTTCACTAGATTCTAGATTAAATCTCAAAAATATATATCTATTCATATCTAATTATTAAAAAATTAAAGTTCTGTTTATGTTATTTTCAGATTTTTCTTCAAGAGAAGTCGAAGTCAAGGCAGACTATGTGATATTAAAAGACTTAAGATTCTTAGAAAAATACAAATCATCTGATAACAGTAGAGGCGTGGTCAATGAAGCCTATGAACAACAGGAATCTTATAATCCTTACATTTATGGTACTATTCCTCCATTAGTGGAAGCCTATAAGAAACAAGAACCTTATAATCCTACTTTTTATTGAAAGCCCTCTAAAACAAGACTTGGATGATTCTACTGAAGTAAATTCGACAGTGTTTTAATACAACTAGGAGAGGCTGATATCGTACAGGGTGTATCAAACTGAATACTTGAATGTACTTTGAAACTATACATATAAACAGTAAGTGATCATCAAATTTGGGACACCCGGTATAATATTTTCGCGAAAAAAGTTGCCTAAAATACTCTTTTTATGAAAAAAAATATATATATATTTTTTTTACCTATGTATTGATTAGCTTTGTTTGGAAAAGAATCAATGGGGCCAGTAATATTACAAACGTAGTTAGACTACCAATAATCTGTTACAAGTAATTTTAGTTGTGGGTATGTGATTTTTGTATCTTTAGCAACTTTATTTGTTCCTTATAGTTTTTTTATGTATATAAATTATATTTTAACAATAATTTTTTTTTTCATTATTTAAAAGGTGTTGAAACATATAGACATTGGAAATTATAGTGAATTTCCAAGGACGTACATTGTCTACGCACACACATTTATCCCTTATCCTTCATCATCATAATATTATTGAGTGGTCTCGAGAAAATCGAAAAAGGACAATTGAAACGATTGAAACACTTGATATCGTTTATTTATGTTTGAAAAATTCCAATTGCAAAACTATGCACGTTATTGGCCAACAAATAATCAAATTGAAGAAAAGTACCAAATACTTGGTTATAGACAATGATTACATTAGTTTCAGCAGGATACTTATAAATTATCTGATAAATGCAAAATAGTCAACAATCAATTGTCTTATTATACATAAACCATATTTCTAAATGAAAGTTGACAAATGATAATTGCGTGTATTAATTGGCTAATAGATATCGAACAATGTAATCAAGGTTTAATTATTGTTAAATACATATAAGGGGAGTCCCATTTCGATGCTATTTTTTGTACAGGCAGGTATTTCTCTCAAGTTGAGGTGCATTCGCTTATCTGAAATGGAACATCAAGTGCCTACATGTTAGTAGGTAGGTACTACTACTACTACTAGGAAACGGTCATTGTAGGAAACTTACCATTAAAAAGGTATATCTAGTTACGTACAGGGTTGCTCTGTTAGAAGTTTGGGCGAGTTGATAATGTTCTGGTTCTGCAGTGAGCTGGGCATATTTTGCGACCGGTGTGAAGTTGGTGGCAAAAGATAGTAGCCAAATTTTCCGAAGATACCCGAACGCCCAGTGGCGTCGGGTCATATTTTAATCGACAGAAATTGTATTTTACCTCACTTTGACTTAGTTATATAAAATTCTACTACAGTTACATATCAGCGAAAAACAACCCATATTCTTAGGGAAATTATATCAAGGGGTATAGGAGAGGGATTTTTTTTAATGTTATTTTGTTTTTAGAAATATCTCGAAATCTGCTCGTTTCTACAGATTTATATTTGAACCACAGTTAACTTAGGTACTAATTCAATTTTAAAAAAATATTTCGTCCCCAGCAACCCGGAACAAGGGGTGCAACTGGAGGTTGGAAGCATATTTTTTGAATTATTATGAAATATCTCGAAATCTGCTCGTTTCTACAGATTTATATTTGAACCACAGTTAACTTAGGTACTAATTCAATTTTAAAAAAATATTTCATCCCCAGCAACCCGGGACAAGGGGTGCTACTGAGGGTTGCAGCATATTTTTTGAAATATTTCAAAATCTGCTCGTTTCTACAGATTTATATTTGAACCACAGTTAACTTAGGTACTTATTCAATTTTAAAAAAATATTTCATCCCCAGCAACCCGGGACAAGGGGTGCAACTGGAGGTTGGAAGCATATTTTTTGAATTATTATGAAATATCTCGAAATCTGCTCGTTTCTACAGATTTATATTTGAACCACAATTAACTTAGGTACTAATTAAATTTTAAAAAAATATTTCATCCCCAGCAACCCGGGACAAGGGGTGCTACTGAGGGTTGGGAGCATATTTTTTGAAATATCTCAAAATCTGCTCGTTTCTACAGATTTATATTTGAACCACAGTTAACTTAGGTACTAATTCAATTTTAAAAAAATATTTCATCCCCAGCAACCCGGGGCAAGGGGTGCAACTGGAGGTTGGAAGCATATTTTTTGAATTATTTTGAAATATCTCGAAATCTGCTCGTTTCTACAGATTTATATTTGAACCACAGTTAACTTAGGTACTAATTCAATTTTAAAAAAATATTTCATCCCCAGCAACCCGGGACAAGGGGTGCTACTGAGGGTTGGGAGCATATTTTTTGAAATATCTCAAAATCTGCTCGTTTCTACAGATTTATATTTGAACCACAGTTAACTTAGGTACTAATTTAATTTAAAAAAAATATTTCATCCCCAGCAACCCGGAACAAGGGGTGCAACTGGAGGTTGGAAGCATATTTTTTGAATTATTTTGAAATATCTCGAAATCTGCTCGTTTCTACAGATTTATATTTGAACCACAGTTAACTTAGGTACTAATTCAATTTTAAAAAAATATTTCATCCCCAGCAACCCGGGGCAAGGGGTGCAACTGGAGGTTGGAAGCATATTTTTTGAATTATTATGAAATATCTCGAAATCTGCTCGTTTCTACAGATTTATATTTGAACCACAATTAACTTAGGTACTAATTAAATTTTAAAAAAATATTTCATCCCCAGCAACCCGGGACAAGGGGTGCTACTGAGGGTTGGGAGCATATTTTTTGAAATATCTCAAAATCTGCTCGTTTCTACAGATTTATATTTGAACCACAGTTAACTTAGGTACTAATTCAATTTTAAAAAAATATTTCATCCCCAGCAACCCGGGGCAAGGGGTGCAACTGGAGGTTGGAAGCATATTTTTTGAATTATTTTGAAATATCTCGAAATCTGCTCGTTTCTACAGATTTATATTTGAACCACAGTTAACTTAGGTACTAATTCAATTTTAAAAAAATATTTCATCCCCAGCAACCCGGGACAAGGGGTGTTACTGAGGGTTGGAAGCATATTTTTTGAAATATCTCAAAATCTGCTCGTTTCTACAGATTTATATTTGAACCACAGTTAACTTAGGTACTTATTCAATTTTAAAAAAATATTTCATCCCCAGCAACCCGGGACAAGGGGTGCAACTGGAGGTTGGAAGCATATTTTTTGAATTATTATGAAATATCTCGAAATCTGCTCGTTTCTACAGATTTATATTTGAACCACAGTTAACTTAGGTTCTAATTCAATTTTAAAAAAATATTTCATCCCCAGCAACCCGGGACAAGGGGTGCAACTGGAGGCTGGAAGCATATTTTTTGAATTATTTTGAAATATCTCGAAATCTGCTCATTTCTACAAATTTATATTTGAACCACAGTTAACTTAGGTACATACTAATTCAATTTTAAAAAAATATTTCATCCCCAGCAACCCGGGGCAAGGGGTGTAACTGGAGGTTGGAAGCATATTTTTTGAATTATTTTGAAATACCTCGAAATCTGCTCGTTTCTACAGATTTATATTTGAACCACGGTTAACTTAGGTGAAGTTATTATAAAGGAAAGAGCAGAAATAATATATTGCTTCAGAAAATATTGTTAACATTTTGTGTTTCTTTGATTTAAAGAATGCCACTTCTTTAAATACGTTCAATTTAGAAGGTAAATGACGATTGACGAAATCGCGGTGAATTCAGCCTAGCACAGGACACAATTATTGGAAAATTAGAATAATTCAATTAGGTACCTACCTTATCAAATTGGAAAAAATAAATCTAATGTAACAAGGAACTAACAGAAACACATAGGCACATGGCACCTCTGTACTAGCATGGCAAAAAGCAACCAGTCTAGACTAGTCCGTCTAGACTAGAGGCATAGATACCAATAAAAAATATGTGAGACTTTCCGGTAATAATACGATAGCTTAATAATTTAGAGGGAAATTTAAAGAGGATTTTGATGGTTTTCAATTTAAAAGTTTTCCGATTCTGACTCTTTCAGCAATTCGATCTAAAATTTTAAGCGTAAAACTAGACTGTCAAATTCTTGAAAAATGTGAAGCAATCGAAAATTAAAACACGCTCCAATTATTATTTTGTTTTTTTTATATTTGTAAAAAAAGCGATTTCATCCTCTAGTGAGTCTAGTGCACATCTTATCCCGGGTTGCTGAGGGTAAGATATTTTTCAAAAATTGAATTAGTACTTAAGTTAACCGTGGTTCAAATATAAATCTGTAGAAACGAGCAGATTTCGAGATATTTCAAAATAATTCAAAAAATATGCTTCCAACCTCGAGTTGCACCCCTTGTCCCGGGTTGCTGGGGATGAAATATTTTTTTAAAATTGAATTAGTACCTAAGTTAACTGTGGTTCAAATATAAATCTGTAGAAACGAGCAGATTTTGAGATATTTCAAAAAATATGCTTCCAACCCTCAGTAGCACCCCTTGTCCCGGGTTGCTGGGGATGAAATATTTTTTTAAAATTGAATTAGTACCTAAGTTAATTGTGGTTCAAATATAAATCTGTAGAAACGAGCAGATTTCGAGATATTTCAAAATAATTCAAAAAATATGCTTCCAACCTCGAGTTGCACCCCTTGTCCCGGGTTGCTGGGGATGAAATATTTGTTTTAAAATTGAATTAGTACCTAAGTTAACTGTGGTTCAAATATAAATCTGTAGAAACGAGCAGATTTTGAGATATTTCAAAAAATATGCTCCCAACTCTCAGTAGCACCCCTTGTCCCGGGTTGCTGGGGATGAAATATTTTTTTAAAATTGAATTAGTACCTAAGTTAATTGTGGTTCAAATATAAATCTGTAGAAACGAGCAGATTTCGAGATATTTCAAAATAATTCAAAAAATATGCTTCCAACCTCGAGTTGCACCCCTTGTCCCGGGTTGCTGGGGATGAAATATTTGTTTTAAAATTGAATTAGTACCTAAGTTAACTGTGGTTCAAATATAAATCTGTAGAAACGAGCAGATTTCGAGATATTTCAAAATAATTCAAAAAATATGCTTCCAACCTCCAGTTGCACCCCTTGTCCCGGGTTGCTGGGGATGAAATATTTTTTTAAAATTGAATTAGTACCTAAGTTAACTGTGGTTCAAATATAAATCTGTAGTAACGAGCAGATTTCGAGATATTTCAAAAAATATGCTTCCAACCCTCAGTAGCACCCCTTGTCCCGGGTTGCTGGGGTGAAATATTTTTTTAAAATTGAATCAGCACCTAAGTTAACTGTGGTTCAAATTTAAATCTGTAGAAACGAGCAGATTTTGAGATATTTCAAAAAATATGCTTCCAACCCTCAGTAGCACCCCTTGTCCCGGGTTGCTGGGGTGAAATTTTTTTTTAAAATTGAATCAGCACCTAAGTTAACTGTGGTTCAAATATAAATCTGTAGAAACGAGCAGATTTCGAGATATTTCGAAAAATATGCTTCCAACCCTCAGTAGCACCCCCTGTCCCGGGTTGCTGAGGTGAAATATTTTTTTAAAATTGAA